CCAGTTAACGATAACTGCTTCGAAATGTTCGAAAAGCTGGAAGAAAATTTCCGACGGACAGAAATGGTTTTCCCGGAGGTTTGTGATTTGAAGAAATCGCTGTGCGATACTTCTAGAGAGGTTGATGCCAGTTAACGATAACTGCTTCGAAATGTTCGAAAAGCTGGAAGAAAATTTCCGACGGATAGAAATGGTTTTCCCGGAGGTTTGTGATTTGAAGAAATCGCTGTGCGATACTTCTAGAGAGGTTGATGCCAGTTAACGATAACTGCTTCGAAATGTTCGAAAAGCTGGAAGAAAATTTCCGACGGACAGAAATGGTTTTCCCGGAGGTTTGTGATTTGAAGAAATCGCTGTGCGATACTTCTAGAGAGGTTGTTCAGAATTTTAGATTTTCAAGCTGTCATGATATAAAAGCAAAACTCATAAGACGTTTCCTCACCTGCTGTTTGAGAATCTATGCTGAGTTTTATGCTAAGAAAAAAGACAAAATGGAGTTCGGCAGCAGAAGCGTCTGCATGCATGTACATGTTAAACGAATTGGTAAAAGCGAGCAGAGAGCCAAAAAGAAACAAGTGTTCCAAAGAAAAAAGGCTGATCAAAAGAATAAGGCCGCTCCAAAAAATAAGGCTGTCCCCAAAAAAGAAGGCCGCACCAAAAAACAAAGCTGCTCAAAAAAATCAATCAAATCAAAATAACCAAAGCAAAAGATGATGTGATGGTGTCTTTCGATGTAAAATCACTTTTTCCAAGCGTTCCACGGGAAGAGTTCATATCTCGAGTAGCAGAAGAATGGCTAAAGGAGAATGGAACGAGCGATGAAACAATAAAGGAATATGTACGATGCAAACTGGGTTTGTTTAAAACAGCGATTTCTTTAAGCAAATACAATGCCATGCTATGGGCAACCCGATTTCCCCATTCTTAGCCGAAATTTTCATGAGTTTTTATGAGTGCTGCTTTATAGAAGAATTCGGTCATATTTTCAGAATATGGTCTCGAAATGTGGACGATGTTTTTCGTATACTAAAAAACCTGAAACGGCTAAAACTCGAGCTATTCAATAGCATTTTCTAACGGGTAGGAATAGTAGTAGGATGCTCTCTAACGCGAAAAACACCCTATCTCACGTGTAGTGCGCTGATCGCATTCGGACCAGACGGCGTTCATACAATGAAACTGCAGTTTACGGCAATCGGGCCTGATGAGAGAAACCCAGGGCTTCACGAACTCCTGGCTATCGCAATCCAGCTTTTCAACTTGTCAAGATACTTGCCATTTATTGAAGTGAGCAGACGAATTTAGAATCCCCCAAGAGGGACTCCAAACTCACTGCACGCCTCCAAAACATGGCGCTGTCGCGAAATTTCCGTTTCAAAGCAAATCCAAGAATAACGCTCTCTAAATTTTAAACAGAGGAGATAAGTCAATACAATGGACTATGGAAGAAGAAAAAGATGGGAGGTTGCCGTTTTTAGATATTTTAGTTCACAGAATAGATGATGAACTAAAGTTCAGTATTTACAGAAAACCCACTCATACGGAAAACTACAAAGAAAACAATTGTTTCAACCCGCCCTCCCATAAGTTTTCAGCGTTCCGAAGTATGATAGTTAGACTTGGAAAGGTTTCTTTCAGTAAAAACGTTAATTCAAAAACAGCTAAAATGTTCTACGTATGCGTGTAAATGAGTTTCATCCTAATTCGATTAATCGATTGTTGATGAAAAAGAAACGCAAAATATAGAATCTAGGACAACGCTTCTAAAGATCGAAGAAGAGAAAAAATTTAGATGATTCGATTTTCATCCCGAGTTCAGCTTATTTAAATTTGAACGAATTTTCAAAAAACACAGTATCATTCTGGGCTCCTACAATAATTTAAACATGAATAAATATTTTTGCAAATGCATAGAGAAAAAAAATGAAGAGAAAAATAAACGATTTTTTGGCACAATCTATGGCTTTGTCACCTATACCTATACAATCCCAAAAATGCTTCATAAAAGAGCTATGCGCTTCCAAAGTTGCCATATTTTTCTTTCATAGAGACGTAATTCCTCGTTATTTTGTTGTAAAGTAGCTGAAACTTAGTGGAGTTTGGTATCATTTAGCGTACTGTTCATTTTTCGTGTTTTCAAGGACGGACTCCGGATAATGACGTTACGAGCGTTCTCAAATTTTGAGATTGCGATGACTTTTTCGGTAGAATGATTATTGGAAAAACAAATTACGGCCTGTGAAAGAGCGCAAAAAGTCAATCGGAGAAGGCACTACAAAAAAATTTTCAGAGACGCGTCATTTCGACCCGACAGAGCTTTGAAAAAGTTTTAGATTTTCGAAGCTCCCTGCTGGGTAGGCAATTCGTACTGCAAGGACTGAGAAAAAGCATAGCGCATGGCAAGGGAAGCGCACAGCTCACTTATGAAGCGATTTCGGGCATAAAAGTGCGGTAAAAAAGACATATTTTGGAGCCGGATAATCGAACCTGAAAGGTAAGTAGGTTAACTTCCGGACACCCTGTATGTACGTATGTTATCCTTTTCAGCATACCTTAGTTTCATTACGCTCGCTGGATCATCATTCTAAGGAGTTTCGCATCTCCATATCGTTGTTTTCGGTAGAGGGACTTAATTATTAGAGAAACCATATGTTGATTTGCACTGTACTCGGACTCATGTGCTCGCTCACATATGAAGCGTTTTCGGGCATGTATGTTTATGGGGGAAAAAAGTCATATTTTGAGCCGAAAAATCGATCCTGAAAGTTAAGTAGGTTAACTTCTGGACACCCTGTATGTACGTATGTTATCCTTTCCAGCTTACTTTAGTTTCACTTACGCGCGCTGGATCATCATTTTAAGGAGTTTCGCATCTCCATATCGTAGATTTCGGTAGAGGGACCTAATCTTTAGAGAAACCATACGTTGAATTTGCACTGTACTCGGACTTAGGTGCTCCCTCACATATGAAGCGTTTTCGGGCATGTGTGTTTATGGGAAAAAAGTCATACTTAGGGCCGATCCTGAAAGTCAAATAAGTTAACTTCCGGACAGCTTGCTAGCTTTAGTTTCGCTTCCGCTCGCTAGATCATCATTTTACGGAGTTCCGCATCTTTATATCGTCGTTTTCAGTAGAGGGACCTAATTTTAAGAGATACCATATGTTGAATTTGCACTATACTCGAACTTGTGTGCTCGATGAGGATTGAACAGTGTCAATGTTGAATTTGCACTATACTCGAACTTGTGTGCTCGATGAGGATTGAACAGTGTCACCGTGAACAGCATCGAATGCAAGTGACAGTCGGAGCGGTGAGAGCACGGAGCTGCCCTTATTACTGTCGTCGACAGACGACACCTGAAACTAATCGCGCGCTGCTGTCACTTTCTTTCTTCGCATCCGAAAATTGCCGCACGAAACGGTACACTTCTGCCGTGCAAAGGAAGAACGCCCCATAGACTTTGAGGCGCTGCTAAATTTCCTTTGGTAAAACAGGAATTTTTGGGAACGTTCGTAAATATTTTTCTTGAAATTTTTCGGACAATTTTGTTCGCAATTTTATATAAAATATCTGAAAATATCAATGAAAAATATGCACGAGTTTCCTTAAAAATACATATTTTGTCCGGGGTAATTTGGCAACTCTCGAATGTTCATACGGCTCTCTTCCTTAGCACAGCAGATTTACGGCGGAAGGGAAAGCCTGATGGCGCTCTACCGAATATCCTCGACTCGCGTCAATGATTTCGGCTACTAATTGGACTACATTTTGCAATTTGGACCTATAAATTCCCGCCCAGTTTTAAAACAACGTATGTGCCATTAGTTTCCCTATGCACATAAGTGTTTTTTCAGATGAGCCAGAATTTATAGGTCCAAATTGCAAAATGCAGTCCAATTGTAAGTCGTCATGATGATGTCGCCTGACTGATGGTTCTGAAAAACTTCTCTAATTGAAAGCATCCGAGATATCTCAAAGCTTTCCCTGACTTCACAGGATACAGCGAAGAGGAAAAAGTTGGTGGAAAACGACTCGACTGCAAGTTGGATCGTTTTTAGCAAGTACTGCTCATGATGTCCGACACATCAATTGCGTGTGATCGGAAGCATCTCCAACCTTCAGCTTTCTGATTGGCTAGAAAAGTTGCTGACCAGAAAACCACATCCCTCACCGATCGATGACCCGCCATCTTGGGAGGCAAAATCTAAAAATATATCGAATAATATCGAATTAACGAAAGCACAAAAAGCCTCAGACCCTCATATGTATAATGCAGATAAGACAGGAGAGTCATTCTCTTATCACAAATGTAGGTCTCAGGGGCTTTCTTCTTGAACCACCGCTACTACGATCGGTAAATTCACAGAATGAAAACGTAGAAATTTTATCGGTCTTTGTGACATCAGGGGGAAGAAATTTCGATAGTTTCTATTGTAAAACTTGGGTTGGAATTAGACGGTGGCAAGCCATAAAGAATAAAGAAAACGTTCGTTAACAGATATTTAAATGAACACACCTATTTATATGCTGAAAGGAACTATGTGCTTAGGGTTTGCATGCAACAGAGTTCCTTTGAGAAGAAATATGCTGATAGGAACTATGTGCCTAGGGTTTGCATGCAACATAGTTCCTTTTAGCAGAAATACGTCCAGATGATAACTCGCCTTGACGAGGGAGAGTAACAACAATCCCACAGGATAACACATTGTTAGTTTATTTTGAAAGAAGGCGCGTATGTTTCTGAGAGAGTAATTCTTCGGTTTGGATTCCCTCTCAAGAAACTCTACCGTTGTTCCCAAAAATATGGAGTTTCCAATGAACATGCAGCTCGCCAAAGGAGTCTTTTACCATATAAGGAATCGGAAGTTCATCCCTTATTTTCTCTATTTGAGTTTAGAAACTTTCCTTAACACATAAATGACAGTGCGAAGCTTTGAGATTATAACTTGGAAACTGAGTATTGTACTAATCAGCATTTTGATTTTTTTTTTGTTTCAGGATTACGATTCGGTCTTAGTAGACGGAACGTGCCAAATCCCTGACCCTCTCTATAAGCTGATAGGATCTATTATCTGTTTTTACATTCCCCTTATCGTCATGCTCATCACTTATGCACTGACGGTTCGCCTTTTAGCTGTGCAACAGCAGAATCTCGGAGGTCGTCCGGCTAGCTGGTCCAGCGGCTGGATGGGTGTTCCAGGTGAGTGGTCATTGAGACGTATTCAGTGACGTGGCGTGCCCGTGCTTTGCGATACATCGATTGTTGTGCCATTTAAACCTATGGAAAAAGATCGATGAACAGGGTGTTCGCAGCGAACACCTTAATAATCGATTCTTTACCATAGCTTCAAATGGGATAACAATCGATATATCGCAATTCACGCCACGCCACTGGACGTATTTATGCTAAAAGGAACTATGTTTATAGGGTTTGCGTGCAATATAGTTCCTTCTAACATGAATACAATCCATTTACACATTAGTGTTAGGAGGTTGTAAAATGAAAAATATAACTAAGGTCGTATCGAAGGAGCCTCCAAATAAGGAAGCTTTCAGGGCAGTCAATTTGGCAGTCGAAGAGAGGTTCAAATGGAAACTCAGAATAACATGAAAGTCAAGAATTTTCAAAATGAGTATAGGAATGGTTCTCCAGTTATTGGAGGGGGGATAGGGATAGGGGGACAAAAGGGCAAAATCCCTCGAATCTTTTGCCGTTCTCTAGTTGAATCGACTTGGTCATTCATGTCTAAACATGTTATGATTAGAGCTTCCTGCCCGTCTGTGCACATAAAATGGACTTCTAGCGTCGACGAGTCATTGTATGAGTTTGTAAAATCAATGATTTAAGATGATGCATTGAAATTCAATAATGATCAGAATTAGGATTACATTTTGCAATAAGAAGCCACCATCTCTGGCTCTTCCGTAAAAGCACTTATCTGCATGGGCAAATCAATGGCATACATGCTGATTCTAATGTGAGCCAGAAATAGTGATTCCTTATTGCAAACTGTGATAATGCTGTGCTGAAACCCTCCTCAACCAGAAAACAAAAATACACCTATTTTGGCTCCTGTAGCTCAAGTATTAATAAAACATACATGATCGAAAAACTGATTTTGATTACTCACTGAGCAGTGGGTAGGTAGCTCAAAAATCCAGGTTTTCTTTTTCACTCACATTTAAATAAATATAGGCAGAGGTGGATCCAGCTATTTGGCGGCACCGGATTTTTTCCATTTAAACCTATATTAAGTAATCGATTCTTGTCGGAGCACCTGGCCCCTTGCATAATCGATACATTTCCATTAATTTAAATGAAGAAAAACAACGTTGCCAATTAGCTGGATTCGCCATTGTAAATAGGTACTTATCAACTTTTCAACCATATAGAGAAGACGTTCGACAGGTTTCCCTCAAATCAAAAACTTTTCCTTTCTTTCAGAATTCATTTCATTACCTTACTTTATTTTCGATTCGACTCTTTTTGAACACCGAGCTTCACTATATAGAAGCTCCCAAATGACGCATAACACTCGAAATTAACTTTTCCTTAAAAGCCCGCGGCGGATCGTTTTTGCTGAATCAACAGGTCGCACAATGGAACAAGTTAGTTGGAAAAGTCGGACAAAACGTGGAATAACTAAAAGCTTAACTCCGTTAATACAAAACTTTGAGGTCCCGTTGGTTATCTCATGGAATATTCTTCCAAAACACTCCTAAAAATTTAAAATTTGACGGTTAAGGCATCAGAATTGGCAGTTCCAGTCAAAGAATTCAAGTCCGACCTTTCTCATTTATTTAATCCGGTGTGCGTCGAGGTAAGAGAGACGGGAAAAAACCGCACGCGGTCTGTCCGCAAGAAACGTGTTGCTTCGAAAAAACCGCTTGCCACTATTCCCGCGGGTGCAGGGATTCGAGTCGACTAAGTGGTGCTGTAGGACAGCGTCAAGAAGGTTATGCGATCCGAACAGAGAGTTCAAACTTGATGAGGGTCAAATCTCTCCCGTCCTGTCTCACTCACTCAACCCCTAAACACTCTTGTGGGATTGTGAAACAGTTTACACGGACAATACACACACACATGCTCAGTGTTACGTTATATTCAACAGCCACTTTTTTCAGAATACTCTTGAATACAGCAGCCGCTTAACAAATAATGATCATTCTTCCCTGTAAAAAGAAAACTCTGAGAGGGTAGTTTCCTTTTCTTTTCGCTTCTGGCGTAAGACTAAAATTCGGAAGCTCGATGTTTTTTCATTTGGTATGTAAGAATTCTAAGAAAACATCAGTGGATTGACTGAAGACATGCTTAGGGGCAACCGAGATGGACTTTTGGCGAAGGTCTGCTGGGATATCGAGAAGAGAGCGTATCCGCAATGAGAAGGTACGCGAGATATGGGTGTGGAGAAGGACATCGTGCACGATATCAGGTCCAAGCAGTTGGTCTGGTATGGACATGTGCGAAGGATGGCGGATGATCGGTTGCCCAAGCAGGTCTTCGATTGGGTTCCTCCCGGAAGGCGACGGCGTGGACGTCCTGTGAAAGGTTGGCGACAAGGGGTGGAGGAGGAGATCAGAAGGTGCCAATTGCCTGATGATCTCTGGGAGGATAGGGGGCAATGGCGATTGGGCGTCGCAGAGCGCGAGGCGGCGCTATAAAAGCGGCTTTGTGTATGTATGTAAGAATTCTTGAGATTGTAATCACCTCACTGGCAGTGCTCCGATACGGACCGATAACATGAACCACGCTAAGCAGCAAGGAACCAAGCCACGTCAACTACTGCCAAATTTAATTCAGCAGCTTAATTTGGACATGAAAACGGGTGTGCGGATTTTGGTGCAAATTTCAGTGGATTTTCTGAATAGTGCGAAGCAAATTCCTTAAAATTTTAAAGAGAATCCGCAGTGAGGTTCTGTCGAAAAAATGTAATTGCCCGGTTTTTGGTAATGGCTGATGGGGCTCGGTCCCTTTCTACGAAACTCGCACCACATATATTTGGAGCAATACTTTGCCGACATGAGAACCCCGGAAAGGGGTGCATGCAATCCTCTTTAATTCACTAGAGCGACAAGAATATTTCACGTCTTAAGAGGAAAAATTGGACTACCTTTCGCGATGAGGAACTACCTACAATTTATGATGAACTTTAGAAACAACATAAGCGCCATTACTTTTCCCGCAAGGTAGGTGTTTTAATGGTGAGCCTGAAAGAGTTGTTTCTAGTCACAAAATGTAGCTCGACAAAGCCGTTCAGAGTGTTAATTGTTGATACACTGTGTGAATCTAAAATGAGGTATTTTCTTCGTTAATTTCTGAAATTCTTCAAAATTTAAGTTCAAGCACGTTCTTTCCTTCAATATATCTAATCTTAACTCTTGTCATTTTAAGCCCTCTTAATATTGTAATTCTGTTATTAATTCCAAGAAGTGGTGTGTATTATACTGTATTAGGTATAAGTTAAAGAAAAATTTTATAAAGACCTATCTGGTCTGAAAATTTTAAGTGTAATTGATATGTACATTTACATGAATAAAAAAAAAAAAAAAAAAAAAAAAAAAAAAATATTCAGGCACAAAATTAGAGCGTCAACAGCAGTAAATTTGTGGCAGCCCACAGGAAACTTTGCAAACCGTAATTTTTTTTGCCGAGATATCTTACCCCTAAATATGGGATACTGCAACTCACACAATATGATATACACACTGATCCGTTGTTTCACGTTCTGGTTGAACCCCCTCCCTCCCACCGGTATTTCAGTCAAATTTAGACTATGAACTTTTGAAATTAGGAGAGTGAGTAAGTTGTTGAAAATGAATTCCGCTGGAAGTTGCGACCTCCAGAGGCAAACAGTGTGCGTTTTACGAGTCGGAACTTTTTTCATAAAATTCCTGGAAATGGACGGACTGGAGCAGGAACTTTTTCAATAGTATGCACTTACACCTCCGACGAGAGGAATCCTAGAATAAACCACTCCAAAACCGACTCTGAGCCGCTCCCCTACCTCCATGCTAACTTCTGCGATATCAATCGGCAGTTTCATGGTGCCGTTTATGACAGTGGTGTCGATTCTATGAATTCTTGCGAAACAATAATGAAACTCTTGCATGTGTCAGGAATTTGCGATTTGAGCACTGATTCCGAGTTAACATTTTGGGGGAAACACGATCGTACCACTGGTTTTCTCAATCAACACCAAAGGTCAAAAAAGCTTGGAGGGCCTTAATGGACGAGATACGCTATCCTGAGAGTCCACCTCTTTCGGTGGAGCACGATGCAGATTAAGTGAATCCCAAAAAATCAACCTGCCGTGCTAAGGAAGAACGCCGTATGGGCCTTCAAACGTTGCCAAATTTTCGTCGATCAACCTGCCGTGCTAAGGAGGAACGCCGTATGGGCCTTCAAGCGTTGCCAAATTTTCGTCGATAAAACACGGATTCCCTCGTAAACTTATGAATATTTTTCAGAGAATTTTGTTCGTATTTTGAGCTGAAGTTCCTGTTAATTTCAAGGAAAAATATTCATAACTTTCCTCAAAAATAAACCTTTAATCAAGGAAGATTTGGAAACTCTCGAATGTTCATACGGCGTTCTTCCTTAGCACGGCAAAACTGTCGATCATTCTTCATGTAGCCCTCCGAAAAAGTGAGTCTCAAAAAACATGAACCTGATGAGTAGATAGGTCATGAAATCCGACCTATTCCAAGGACCTCCTTGGTTAGATTAAAATAATAAAAAAATAAAAAATAAAAAAAAAAAAAAAAAAAAAAAAAAAAAAACAGAAAATCGATGACATCAACAATATTCACATCAGTCGTCGTGCGGACGACTGCATACCAATTTAGTTTCGATATTCGTCCGCTTTACCGACGTGAAATTCCAGAAGTTCTCGCGACTGATCAGGATATGCAGATCGCATACCGTGAAAATGCCCGAGTTTATTTTTAAGCTCGGATAAGGACGCTGTAAAGAGTAAAAACCCAGCGATTAATATCCCAACTCCGAGAAAAGCAAACGAGTTTTTTTTTAAGGAAAACGCGGTGGCAGATCCATCCGAAGATCTTGAATATTACTCTTCAAGTCGAGTTCCCGCAAGAGTATGCACAGGGACTGCACCGCCGTGGTAAGTAAGAACGCCGTATAAGCCATTAAGCGTTGACGAATTTCCTTCGGCGAATCACGGATTTCAGGAAAAGTTG